CACCTAGCAACAAATGTAGCTATTTTTAAAATTTATTTGGCAACTTTTAGCAACTTTTGATAGGTGATTTAAACGATAAAAGGCACAAATTTTCCATCTAAATTACACAAGAGGAAACCAAAGATGTCTAGTAGTACACACATCACATGAATTAAGTTAGCTGCTATTTGCAATTGTTCAATTTAATAATAATAATAACTGAATAATTGAATAATTGTTCATTTATTATACACCTTGTTAGCTTGTACCTGCGACTGTTGATAAGTTAGTACACTGTAAAAAACAATATCTAGAAAAACGGAAAAGGTTATTTTCCAGGACATTATCCGTTATCTGTTGTAACCCTGTAACCCGAAAACACAAAATACAATGCGTAATTTAAAATGCAGGTAAACAACCTGTGAAAAATCAATACGGAAAATTCCTTCACATTAACATAGTAGATTGTGCCTTATTTTTACAGACTTTTCTTAAAGTGTAGCACACTAACTAACTACTAATACACTGCTTAAAACTATAACTGTTCAGAATGTAGTTTACTAGCTAATAAAAAAAACTTAAATTGTAATTGTTCAAAAATGTGTAAGTGTTCAATAATTCAATGTTGTATTTAAACATAGTTATATTTTAATATTATATTACCTTATATTATTTTACGAACAAATCTAAATGAACATATATAAAATATTTTTTGCTGAGACTTGATGTTGTAGCGAATCAGCTCATTCATGGGGAAATATGAATAATTAATCATAACTAGTTATAATTAATTATAAATATTTAGATCCGCTGTAGATATTTACTTGACCTCTCAGGGTCAACTGTCTGTCAATTCTAAGAACGTTAATTTCCTGGTTAAGGGAAATAACTTTCTTACTGTACAACTCTACACAGAGCCTGTAGCATAAATCTGCAGTTATGAGCAAACAATGACCAACGTCAAGTGTGATACAAGTAAGACTTTATTAACTACATAAACACTTAAACTAGTCTAACATACTACATAAACAATTAAACTGGTCTAACATACACATAAACACACACACACACACACACGCATACAGTTGGTATAGGAAAGGGTTAAAAGCTTAACGCAGTAAAGAGAAGAGAAATAAGAATATGAAACTATGGTACCATTTGATATTCAGCAGATCTCCAGCCTGAAGGGAACATCAGTTTCTTAGTTCAAACACACCTTTGTAAAAAGGTGCAAATGATACCTAATGTATCAATTAATAAGACTAAGTTTGAATACTTGCACGTCTCGTCTGTCTGAAAGAAAGGCTTGATAAAGTCCAAAGGTCCAAGTTGATCTTTGCTGAAGTTGGTTGATGAAAAAGAACCAGTTTGAGTCAGAGAATCTTGGTGAATGGAAAAGTCAAGGCCGAAGCCTGGCACGAACTTAGGGTGTCCTGGAGCGTTGTAGCTCACATCTTCTCAAAACCTAACAGAACCACCGACTCTGGGCGGGTCACAGGGTGTGAGGCGTTTAAGGTCGGAGAAGATTCC